CAAGTGTAAATTAGCGCAATGAACATCTTTAGATTGTCAAGGCAAAAAATTTTGGGTCTCTCTCTCTCTCTCTTGCATAATGCATAGTCAGTTCTGCAAGGAAATATACTTTTTTCTCAGCAAATCAAGAAACTGGATCTCCTTTCTCTAGCCAGAAGAAAGAATCAAATTAAGAAGTTGGAGGTTCTATGGACAAGTTTCATCAATATCCGCCTGTATCAACTTCAATTGACTGAAGTATAAAAGAATAATAAACTTGATCACTAATTTGGGGACAAATGGTAGTAAAATTTTGTTTTAAAAAAATGAAAAACAATTAGTAATGAAAAGTTTCATAGTCAATTGTGGTGGAAGGATGGCCGGCTAAAGATTTACCACTGTAGTTTATATCATGTCAAGCTTACAAAATATTTGAGGTCCTGTGTAGTTTGGAAGGAAGCTAATGAAAATGACAAATCATAAATCGTGGGCGGCAAATCATAAATCGTGGGCGAGTGGAAAATAAGGTTTGAATTCTTGATTTTCTACCCACAATAAAAAATAATTAAAGTTTTGCTGGCGATCAAGGGACCAAATGAGTATTGACAACCATCAAGACATCATGCACGATGGTCTTTGTTGGTGGAAGTATTAGGACACAGTCCCGCACAGGCGCTGGAATGGGGTACCCGTGTTTGTTTGTTTCTTTTTCTTTTTTTTTTTTAAACATTGTGTAATATGGTTTGGTAAAAATGTGTATTGTAACAATTAATTCATTAAGGCTTGTGAGATAAAGTGAAAATTGAAGAATAACAATTTGGAATCGTATTTGGTAAAATCAAAATATGAAAATTGTGCCAGAAATGGAAGCATGAGCAATCAAAGAGTTCGAGAATCATTTGTATCACATGGAGTGATAATAAATGAAGGGATGAAACAATGTAAAATTTCTTCATGAACGTTGCTTATTATAGTTGATCAATTAAACATGTAAAAACGTAATGCTCTTTTTTTTAAAAATGTTATTTAGTAATTATAATTGTTGAAATATGAATCACTTGTTTTGATTTATCTACTTAATAAGTAGCATATTATTCGTATTTACTATATAATTGGAAGCCATACATACAAAATAAGAAAACATAAAGCTGTTTTAATTCTAGAAAAGGATAAATTTGGAAATATAAAAGTTGAGCCGGTAGTTTCTGAGCCCATTAGGTACTAATGGGCCATTAAATTATTTTCGGCCTTAATTGATCCTAATTACAAACTAGTTACACGTTTTACAGATCTGTGGTGAAAAAGTTTTATAATCATCGATTTGTAGGCACTTTGGCTCTGCATTTCCCCACAAAACAATAAGTTCACAAAATTTTTCAAAAAATACTCCAGAATATATTTCCAAAAACACTTAATCCAAACGGACAATCAATAATATAAAGCATTTCACATATATCGTTACAATAAAATTTTTGAAAAAAACTCCAAAACACCTAATCCATACGGATATTGAGACAGTTGTTGTTGTTTTTGTTGTAACTCTTTTTTTTTTTCTGTTTTTTTTAAAGATGAGATTCATTCCATTCCAAAACTAGAACATGCCACCGATGCATCGGATCCCAGGTATTTGATCATTTGATGAGCTAGTGTCAAAAGATAAAATTGTAAATCAATTTTAGGGTCAGAATTATCAATTTACTATTGAATTTCTTCCGTTTGGATTAGCTATTTTTGGGGATAGTTTTGAAAAATTTTACCGTAGCAGAGTTTTTACAGTATATTTTGGAATATTTAAGAGTAGTAGAGTTTTTAGAATATATTTTGGGATATTTTTTAAATATTAAAAAAATTAAAACTACTTTTTAGAGTACTTTTTAAAATTTTTTATAGTATTTGAAAAACTAATTTTGGAAAAACTCAAGGATCCAAGCAGATGCATTTTAGACAATTATCATTGGCTCATTCCACCATGTACTTCTAATGCGTTCAATTGGATAAAACTTAAAAGACACAATTAGTTAGGAAGTAGGACGTACACTACTACAATCCTATTAATGAGAGGGCCTCTAAAACAAAGTGAAGAAAATAAAGGAGGAATATTTTCTTTTATAATGCGAATAGCCTATCATGAATTTTTTTTTTGGTTGAATTCTAGTAGTATAGAATACAGATCAAATTCTTTTTATAATGCCGATTAAAAATATTTTGATGTAGACTGATCCAAAATCCAATGAGTTAAATCTACTTTATATTTTGTAATGCAGAGTGATCCAAAATCCAACGAGTTAAATCTATTTTTCCACTCTATGATAGTGTGAACTGTGGGTTGATGAATTTGTTGGCTGTGCCTGGTGGGTAGACTTGGACTCTGGAGTCAGCCACCGCGTGAAGACTCCTTCACATTGTGCGATGTAATTGCCTTGACCAATTTTAGATGCTTCTGATACATATTGCAACTTAAGGGTCTTTACTCTGCCACTAATTGGGTATGGAGTAATGAATTTCTTGGTTATGCTGTGACGGGTAGACTTGGACTTTGGAGTCAGCGACCCATGAAGATTCCACTATTTGTCTAGCCACAACCAATTATGGATGCTCCTGATACATATTATTTCATTGCATTGCAATTTAAGATTCTTAGTTTCTTACTCTGCCACTGATTGGCTTCAACTCCATCTCAAAACTTCTTACTTTCTTACTCTGACATTGATTGGTTTCAGCTCCAGCTCAAAACTTCTTATTCTGACACTGATTGGTCCCAGCTCCAGCTCAAACTTGTTTTGAACGTTGTAGAATTTGCCACTACTTCTGGTACATAATTTTGTTGATAATTTTTTTTCCATTCAGTTATATATGTTATTTTGTTCATAAATTTCTGCTACTGCTACTATCTTGCTTCTCTATTATTTGGATTCCTTTGTTTGAATCATTCGATGTAAGTTTTTGGTATCCTTGAGTAGTTGGGTATGTAAATTCTTGAGGATAAAGGAAAAAAAATCAATCACTTCCAAAAAAAGGTATACAAGTATCTTTATGATGATAAACATGAGAAGGATATGATCGTTGCCTTCTGCTTTCTGCCATAGTTGTTGGATGTTCAACTTTTAAGTGTTGCTTATATGATATGTTTGTATGATGAATCACTGATTATGAGTTAAAATAAAATATGGGAGAAGAAAGATGACTATTTGTTATTGTTGAAATCTTGCAAATATATGGCAAAATTTTTCTTGGTTTCTGCAATCCAAGATATTGATGATTAAACTTCTCTTACCTCTTTTCTAGAAAAAATAAATTAAAAAATGCAAACCTAGGTTTTGGTCTTGATACATTCTAAAAGAAATTTAAATAATTCGAACCTAGATTTTAGTCTTGATGCATTATAATGTATGTTCAGTGAAACTTCTATAGATTAATACTCAATAAATTAATAATCTGTATTAATTAATAATTTATTTTGGTCTCGACTTGGGTTAATGAGCTAAATTAATAATTTCAATAAAATAATGAGATAATAGTTTTATTTTTTTTTAAAACCTTACCTAACGCTTTTGTCTCATTTATATTGTAAATTAATAATTCACTAAAATTACATATATTGTACTCACATAATACTCTATGCATTTGATCAATTATTTATGAACATCTTTTCAAATGGGAAGCCATAGTTTAACAATGATATATATAAGAAGATTTTGTATTTGTTATTTATATACATAATATTATTAATTTGATTCATTGTATGCATTTAATAAAATGGAACACACATCTATCATTTAGTATTCTTAAATCCTTTTGACCTATTGGTAATAAAAAAATGATATCAGTTACGTACATTAATAGACATAAATTATACTTGTAAATCAAGTAGATATAGATTGATTTATATTCTATAGAATATTAGTCTCCTTTTATTTATAGAATAATTTATATTTTTATAAAATAAAATAAAACTTTTGTTGATTAAATTAGTGTTTCTTTGAATTGTAAGTACACTCAATAAATCAATAATTTATTAATGTATTGATTAATTAATACCTCTTTCAATTAATAGAATTTGTATGGTTCAGGGTTATTAATTAATAGATTTTTTACTCTTGTTACAAAGAATTAATTTTGATAATCCATGTTTTGTATTGGCTTGCAGATCCTGCTTATTGATTGATCTGTCTAATAGAAATGTAAGAAAGGAGATACAATTGGTATATTATTCGAGAGGACCCAATTTGTCATCCTCTAACTTTTAGGAAAACTTGTTATATTATTGTCTTCTAACTAAATTTGTTAAAACTGCTGAACATAGTTTATCACTGTCAGATAATAGAAAGCTCATCAGCATCTCTGTCTGTTTTCGCATTGGCCATAATGCTGTTCTGTAGTAAAATACCTTGAATACCATATGATTGACATTCTCGGATTTGTTTTCTTAATCAGCATTATTTGGCATGGAATACATCAGTCCACTTGCAAGCTTGGTGCAGTGTTTTTGTAGACAAGAGTGCTTACGCAAGTCGGTTTCCAAGCAATGTAGTTACTTTGATAAACCACAAACAATTCTAGGAAGGTTGAATGAGCAAATGAGAGTTCTTAATGCCCGAGAAACAGATATAAGGCAAATGTTAACTATAGAAAGGGTTCGGAATGGCATGGAGCCTAAAGCTGAAGTTAAGTTATGGCTGGAAAATGTTGATCAGATCAAGGACTCTGTCAATAAGGTGAAGGAGGATAGTGCAGATGATAGAAGGTGTTTGATTGGGTGTTTCCCAAACTATTATTTTCGGCTGAAGCTGGGGAATATGGTTGAGGAGCAGATCCATAAGGTGAATGAGCTTCTTGAGCAGGGAAAGTTTTCAGAAGGTGCAGTGGTTGGTATGTTGCCTGAACGTGGGAAGACACTTCCTGCAACTATGCTTATGGGAGAAACTGCAAAAAGAAGTTCAAGGAGGATTTGGCATTACCTGATGGACGAGACTATTCGAACAATTGGCATATTTGGGATGGGTGGAGTGGGTAAAACAACAATCATGATAGAAATTAATAATCGACTGGTGAGAGAAGATGTACGTTTTGATACCGTCATTTGGGTCACAGCATCAAGGGAGTCAAACCTCCCAAAACTACAAAATGATATTGCCAAATCAATTGGTTTATGCTTTGATAGCGATGATGATGGGATGACCAGAGCATCAAAACTATGGAATGCCTTGAGGGGACCGAAAAAGTTTCTTCTTATTATAGATGATTTGTGGGAAGCATTTCCGCTTCAAGAGGTTGGAATTCCTAGTCAAGAATTCTCAAACTCTTTTAAGTTGGTGATTACCACTCGATCATTGAGTGTTTGCCGTGGCATGGAGACGATGAGAGAGGTCGAAGTTGAATTGCTTTCTAGTGAAGAAGCATGGAATTTATTCAAACACAAGGTTGGTGAAGAAGTTGTTTCATCCTTGAGCATCGAAGCTGTTGCCAAGGAAATTGCCAAAGAATGTGGCGGTCTGCCACTAGCAATTGCTACAGTAGGACGGGCTTTGAGAAAAGAATATAATGTGAGACAGTGGCGGATTGCTTTAAGAGAGTTGCAAAACTCCACCATAAGAATAGATGGAATGGAGAACCAGGTATTGTCACGTCTGAGATTTAGCTATGAGAGATTGAAGGATGATACTACCCGATCCTGTTTTCTTTTCTGTGCTGTATACCCAAAGGATCATCATGTCAATGTAGAAGAGCTCATAAGATATTGGATATATGAAGGTCTACTGGGTAATTTAGGGGACATGGAAACCAAGATGCAACAGGGATATATCCTAGTAGATGAGCTGAAAAATGCTTGCATGTTGGAAAGTATCTACCAACATGGTAGTATAGACGAGCATGTGAAGATGCATGACCTAATTAGGGATATGGCAATTGCTCTCACAGGTGGTAACCAAATCTTTATGGTTCGAGCTGGACAGAGCATACACAAGCCCCCTCTTCATGAAGAATGGCATCCAGATCTTGAAAGAGTCTCACTGATGAGAAATGATTTGAGCTCTTTGGATTGTGAACCTAGATGTCCAAAGCTAAGTACATTACTCTTGCAGTATAATTCACTATCCAAAGGCATTAATCCTTCTTTCTTTAACCATATGCAGAACCTGCAAGTTCTAGATTTATCTTATACAGGCATACTTAGGTTGCCAGATTCATTTTCTAATTTGGAAAACCTTCGTGCACTACTCCTCTGTAGCTGTTGGAATTTGCATTATGTACCAACGCTATCAAAACTTAAGGAGTTGAGGGTTTTGGACCTTTCTTATTCATCCATTGAGCACATGCCCCATGGGATGGAAATGTTAACTAACCTTAGATGCCTTGACCTCTCCCAGTGTAGAGCCAATGACTTTCAAAGTAGTTTTCTGTCAAATTACAGAATGCTGGAGAATCTACTGCTAATTGGTTTGTGGCAGTCACTTGAACTTGGTAAGGTATTTGTGGATCAGTTAACAAGCTGCATTAACCTGTCACTGTTTGAAGCTAACTTCAGAACTGTTGAGGACTTCAATTACTATACTATGTCAGGACACTGGAGTCAAGTTGAGAGTTTCAAATTTTGTATTGGCTATCCGGAATCCTCAATGCGTTTCGGTAGAAATAGTGTAGCATTAATTGGAGCCCATATGTTTCACAGAGAAATACTTGCTTTGTTGCCTGGTAGGATTCATGAGTTGGTTCTCTTGGCTTGTTCAGGCATCAATCACTTGCCAACATCCATCAGCTTTGCTTCTTCACAGCTACAAATATGTAAACTTCAACACTGTGATGATATGGAATGGATAATAACTTCAGGATGGAGCACCTTTCCTACCCTAGAGTCGTTAGAGATCGAGGGTTTGGGCAAGTTACATACTTTTTGCATGGGAATTCCACAGGAAGGAACTCTTGCAAATCTGAAGGTGTTGCATGTCAGCCAATGTAATGATTTGAAGACCGTCTTGTCATTTGAGCTGGTGCAGAACCTAAAAAGCCTCGAAGAAATTGTTATTGAAAACTGTGAAAGGATTGAGGAGATAATTGATGATGAAAGAGGGGGAGAAGACGTGACTCAAGTGGACAATGCTGAAATAATATTTCCACGATTACAGAAATTAAAGTTAAGTTCTTTGCCAAGGCTGACAAGCATCTGCTGGAATAGGGTAATGATATGTGATTCATTATCCATCATTGAAGTTCATAAATGTCCTGAACTTACTGCACTTCCCTTCTTCGTGGAAATTAGGCAGCTCCTGAAACAGTCTCTGAAGCAAATAAAAGGAAGCAGAAGATGGCGTGAGGATTTAATGAAGTCTCATCCAGATTGCATTGGACTCCTGTACTCAATTTTCAAAGTAACTCAGAGTTCTGCAGCATATGACATCTTTGAACCTCAGAATTCTGCAGCAAACGAGATCTTTGAAGAAGACGATGGCAGGAATATTGGTGAATCTGCAAGTTCATCATTTGGGCCAAGATAGCATTCTACAATTCGTATCCCATACTTCTATAACCATCTGATCTTCCATGATCCATCCCTTCGAGTTCTTTGAAGTAATAAAGATACTAGCTTATCGTTGTCTCGTCTTCGGTTAGCCTGCATACAGTTGTTAATGTTGCCTCCCTTTGTTCATTTTTTCAATAAAAGTTCTGTAACAGAAGAAGACAAATTTGGATAAGCAATTTTGTGCTCGAACACCAGAATGTAGTAAGTTTCATGTTGTTCACTATCTGCTGGATAAGGAAAAAGATTCTAAACCTGTTATCTGCTCATAAGTATAACAGGTCATGGCAAATAAACTCTCATTGGATTATATTGACAGAACAGCACATAGATTTCCAAGTTTCTTCGCATAATTAGTCCAATTCAAGAATCCCCGAAATCTTTTTCAGTCCTGGGTGCTGCAATAGATTGTAGCTACTTCTTGGTGCTTTTCCATCATTCCCTTTGTATACTAAAGATACTTAAAACTTTGAGAGCTGCTTATATCATATTTGGTTCATAAAATTTCCCCTGGGATGTTGACAAAATATTTGGAATGCAGGAATGAGATGGATAAATTGTACCATCACATATTTTTTGAAATTTAACTGGTTTTTTTTGTTGAGTCGTAAGAAATACAGCTCCATCAGTTAAGACTAGTAGTTTTGTTTTATTATGTGTTGCCTGTATCATTTGATCCAGTAGATTGGTGCAAATTTTGCTGAAATTCTTGAACACAAATAGACAGCTGATTAATGAAAGGAAAGTTGTCATGATGTGGTCCTAATTATTAAAATCAAAGCTTTAGTATTAAAACAGAAAAATGAAATGAAGATTAGGGCTATAGACACACAAATTGCCATAAGATATGCCTTGAGAGTTTCCTTCGTTCATTCATATACTACCAAATCCCATCACTAAATTTGGTATGAATATCCATCATTTCTAATTTCTAGAATCCCATAAAAAATGGTCTTTCCATGAATATAAACAACAACTATCACTACCTTTTCTCATGGATCCAAATTTCCCTAAATTTTCAGTTATTTTCATGCATGACAAAGTTGTTTGATCATTTAGCACTAAGGTGTCCAGAAAGCGTCCCCTTCAATCCCACATTGGAAATTTGAAATGTTGCAGATCATATCATAAGCTGTAGAAAGAACGCTCTCGTTCGCCGGGCTGAGTAACGCAAGCCTGTAACCCAAGTGGGGGCATTTGGCGTGTTGGAACATGGATTCCGTTCAGCTGGTAGGGTTTGGGGTGGCTAAATGCTGGCCCGCCCGTTCCAAGCGGAGAGGTGGGCTACGTAACTTGGACGAAGGCCTGGGTCATGTGGTCCTTAGAGAGGTGGGTATTGCGTCAGGCTGGCTTCACAGAGCAGCGAAAACCACCCGCTCTCTGCAGTGGAAGGATAACGGGCTGCTGCTCTCTGAGCCCAGTATTACCAGATGGATGGTTTCTAACTGAACGAACACTCCTTTTGCAATTTTTTACTTTTTTCTTTAAATTTGAGAAAGGGCGAATTACCCAAAGGGAAAAATCTGGATTAAAGTTTTGCTATTTAATTAAAAAATCTAAAATAATGTGCCATTTCTAAAGAGGCATTATAGGCTATATACAATCCGGAACTTTATCAGATTTGGGTGTTATAAAGATGATCTTTAAGATTTTGAAATTATTCAGTTAATTAAAGAAAAAACATCCTTGTTTGGCAAAAAAACAAAAAAATCTACCATGTGACATTTTATGGTTGTCATAATTTTTCCCCTTCATGGACTTTTTCCGAAAGTTTGAATAGTAAAGATCAATAAGCTGAGATTTTTTAGTTCCTGGTACTTTTAACACTAACAAAAATTTACTTCTTGTTATTCAATAAATCATGTAGGTTTCAACCAATAAGTGTGCATTATTACTCCTACTTTAGATTATACTTAGTATGAAAATCATGATCTCTAACAATCTTTGCTTATTTTTCTTTTGCAATTAATCATCTCTAATTAAGCCAAATAGCCAACGTTGATAACCAAAAAATTTCAGTGGAGATAGGCAGCCCCTGCTTGACCCTCTAATTGAAATAAAAGGAAGCAGAAATTGGTGGAAAGAACTAAAGAATTCAGCTCTAACAGAGAAGCATGTACTACTTATTTTATCATGGCTTGGATAGAATTACCACATTGATCATTCATCTACATTTTGTAGAACTTCAATGTACGTTTCAAGAGGGTCAGGTCATCAACAATCATGCACCAGAAGGAGCCTCAAGTGATCAATCTGAATCAGCATTTATCAATTTTCTGTATCTCTCAGTAATCATCTGTGGAGGGATATCAGTGAAGTATCCCTGCTCTACATCTAGGCCTTCTTGTGCTGCTAGCTTCTCAACATGGTTTTGGACTCGGTCTGCCCCAATCTGGTTTGGCTCCAGTAGCATGCATGCTATCTCAGTTGAGTCCTCACCGTGAACCAGGCCTAAAGTTTGCACGGTAGGCAACCCCCCTCCTCGAGCACTGACCATCAGTGCGATCCGTCGAGCTGTTGATACATCTGTGGACATGACTGGTATGTTGTACATGGCAATCCATGGCCGTGCACCTATCATGCTAATGCCCCTCGCACTGGTGACCACTTCTGGACCTTCATTCGGCTTTTCTGGAAGGACTTGTGGCTGTGTCCAGCCAACCCAGTGGTGGCCGTTATTTGGACGAAAGTAGCCCAGCTCTCGCCTTATGGTGTCCAAAGCCTTTCCTGTTGGATTTGCTGCCCCATATAGATATACCGGTACTGAAGCCAAGGAACATCAGAAATCAGAACAACATCTCCCATTAACCTTAGAATCATGTAGCCAAGAAAATGCTGATGACTGAATTCTTTGTGTGACTCTATTTCTTCCTATTTAATTACTGAATTGATTACCCCTAAATCTATATCTTAAAAAGATTTTGTGGACTTTTGCCTCCATGATTCTCTATATAAATTGTTGGCACAGAATTATAGAGACCAAGGTAAGTATATACATGTGACTCTGAATATGGTAGTCAAGTCAGGGGGAATGGACCCAGAACAGTATAAATTGTTTCAGCGTCTCCAAGATATGGAAGCAACATTAGAAAGTTTCACGCTTCCAAAATATTTAGGCAATTATGTTAACTGGATCAGCTCTTTAAGTAGAGAAATACCAAGTACATGATCATGCAAATTTTAATACTCTCCATCTGACTGTAGATTGATTGCCCTTACTTTATAGTGTCATTGAACCAGTAGTTAATTAGTAGTTACCTTGAAATCGATTTCCAATTTCAGCTGCAACTTTTTGAGCCAGCCAAGCTGCCTCATCCAGTGAAGCTCGAGCTAATGGGTGGCAGAGAATGTCATCCATGACGCCAAGACGAGGATGTGTCCCTAAGTGCTGCTCAAGGTTTATGGCTTCATAAGCAGCTTCAGCCATGGCTACTACACTCTGCTGCAAGGGGCTGTAAATTGGACAGCCAGTGCTATCATGGACAACATATGAGACAAGTGTGTAGCAGACTCTATTGTAATCACGATCCTCAAATTTGTTGACGATAACGGTTTCTGGATCACGTTTAGCTGCACGTTCGATGGAATCAAGAGCTTCGGCATTTCGTGCTTCAGATATATAAAGTTTACAGCAGAGCAGCATGGAGTGCATCACTGTTTTCTTCTTATCCTTTTGCAGATTGTCAAGAATTAAAATAATCATTCAAGGTTTAGAAGGCAAATGACATACAGGTAATCCTTTTAGACTGCATTGTCAAACTCTTCGAATTAGATGTTGTGTCTAAGAGAGCTGAAGATCCATATATGTTATGAGGTCTACTAGATTATTACAAACATCCACACTAAATAGTTCACCAGTGACAATTTGTATGAATGGTTTTTGCATTGATTAAGGTATCAGATTGTGATAGCGGATCCATTCCCTGGTTAGATCATGAGTCAGCTTAACACCTTTATTCATCAGTGCACATCTTTGTTAATATTCAAGTGCTAAGCTAAAGAGAATTGATCAATTTCTAGTTGCAAAAGGTTGGTGTGTCACCAGTTCATCATCATATTTGTACAACAATCTGCTTGTATGATCTTTATATGAGGGCAAATTCATAATCCAAAGGCTTTCCATTTTCAGCTGAAACAGTGTTCACAAGAATATTGAATAGGGCAATTGAAATGTGATGAAAGTTGAGTTTAGCTGAAATACAAAGCTCTACATTGTCAACAGAAATTTCATGTTCCCATCTCTCTCCTGTATTCTTAGTATGTGAGTGGAGTTTTAAGAACACTCAAGTTGAAAAGAACACAAAAAATTAGTGAAATATGACAGCTGAAGTAATCAAATTCAATTCACTAAAATGCTTTCAACTATGGAACCTCGACTGACTGAGAAAATTGTTCTTCCTCCCTAATAACATCATTCATTTCCGCCAAAAATGAAATTCTCCAAGAAAATCACGCAAAAATACAAGGAAAACCTAATTATAAAATGGCTTTAAGGCTCATTTCAATGTCTTTAAACCTTTTAGAAAAATAGATATGGTCCTTTTTTTGCCTGTTTACAAGATATATAAGCTTAGAAAAATAAAAAAGAGAGTGATCAATCCCTCACCTTGCTACTCTGGCTGGAAATGGAATCCATCTCTTGGGTTCTACAATCCAACCGACTGTCCACTGTCTATGGCTCTCTGCAGCCTTTGTCTTCAAATTAATGGATAGAAGAAAGAAATGCAGAGATATTTTACTTAAGCTAGTTTCCTAATCCTGACTTAACAGTCAAACTTAATACCACCACGGTTGAAGGCCAAATGTCCCACAATCACCATGTTTCATCCTCATCTCAGATTGAGCCAGGAACTGGATTATATAGCTAGAACCAGGCATGAAGCACGCGGGTATTTTATCCAAAATGTCTTCATATTCGAGGAAGGGCAAGAAGCAACCATCATAGTTTTCTGTCATAAACCACCCAACCACCCACCTGGTCGGTGGGGTTCGGTTTTTTTCATTGTTCACACTTGTTTGGTTTGGTATTGGCATAATCTTTTGAGTTCTCGGTTTTACTTTTTACCCTGGTGGGGATTTGGTCAGGCAAAAATTTCTCCTGCTTTATACGTCCCAAGCTGAATGATATCTTAGATATTGCATGATTAAACTTTTCTTGAAAGCAACCTGAGATAATCCTACACGACAGAAATGATCACATGGTAGCCAGTGGAGCACTATTAGTAATGTGATCGATCCCAAAAAGTTGTAACTTCACCAAAAATATGGTCCTTTTAAGCCTTTTTTTTTTTTTAAGAATACAAGCAATAAAAGGAAAACGGAAAAGATGAAACTTCACCAAAGATGAGCCCCTCACCTTGCAGTTGCGGTCCATGTCTTGCCCTTTTTTCCCAAGCAAACTGTCTATGAGCTCCATGCTGCCTCTTTCTTGAAATTAGCACTCCTGCTAGAAGAGATGGGAGTCGTGGACAAATATTTCTTTTATTTAGCACACTACATATGAATATGACATGACCTTTCTGGATCACGTGTCCTACTCCTGACTCAGCACTAAAAACATCACAAGACATTTACAACTAAGCCAAATGTCCCCACCACCCTCATGTGTCAATCTCATCTGCAACTGAGCCCAGAACTAGATAAACAAAACCACCGCATGCCACGCATGGTTTTGGATGGAACAATAATGCCCTAGTGTTTGGATAATAGACTATTTGAAATTAATTTTTTGAAAAAAAATATTATAATATTTATACGTGAAATAAATAGACGATTGAAATATGTCGATGATACAAACAAATAAATATTATAGCACTTTTACATAAGATAAAAAAATGGTTGGTTGAAAATTATGTCAATGACACAAGCAAAAAAATTTTGATAAAAAATCTATTATCCAGACAAAACCCTAGTGTTTTGGACGGGCGGCAGGGGGGTGGAGCGCGGGAGGACTCTAATATTTTGCATGAAAAAAATTAAAGCTTTTAAGGTGATGCTGAAAAAGTCATAACATTTTGGGGGAGAGAGCAAAATCTAATTTCTACTAGAATATAAGTAAAAAGCTTGATTGTTTTAAAGTGCCATAAAAAGATTTCTAAAATCTTGGGAGTAGCAGCCCCTTAAAAAACAAGAAATTAGTCCCAAGGCATTGGAACAATTGGGACAATGATCTCTTTATTATTGTCCAAGTTGCCAAATTTATTACTATCAACTTTCCTCATATTTTTGGGGCATATTTTTGGGACTTTGGTTTTATCTTCCCCTAGTATACGTGAAATGTGTTATAGATGTCCATCAAAGCTGTAAATGAATGATTTTCAAATCGAAGTAAGTTGGTGAAATGTGGTTGAACATCTATTTTGCATTTTGCTTCGTGGTGACGAGACTGTAAACATCATCCAAAGTTCAAATACTTGTTCGACGTGGATATTATGAACTGTCTTTCGGACAGTGCTATATGGACACTCGTTATAATGTATTTTAAGTGTTAAATTTTTAGCAATACAAGATTAATTAGTGAAAACATATAAATGCAAGGGAATTAATTAAAAAAAATGTATATATGTAGAAGAAAGTAATAATTATTAGTGTGTATATACATGATAAGTTGGATAGAATATAGGGGTATTAGGCACCCGTAAAAAAATACTATTACGAATAAGGATTTTTCTAACTGATGTCTATTGAACACTCGTTAACACACTTAAAATTCATTTAATCTGTCATATATATATATATATATATATATATATACGTACAAACTAACAATTATTATTCTTCTTTATATTTATATACATTTTCTGTTTAATCTTACCTATCCTCCTTCATATTTACTTATTTTTTCTAATTAGTCGTACATTTTCAAAAAATATGACATTTGAAATATATTCTAACGGTGTCCAATCCCAGTTAGACAGACCCTGTGAATAAATATCATCATCATGGTGACTAGGCGTGTAAATGAAATCAGTCTTTTTAGAACAAATCAATTAATATCTGATTAAATGAGTGGACACAATCTTTCTTCGTACATATTGTCGGTAAGTATGACTATTGATCATCAACATCTACTGCAGAGCACATTATCACTTGAATTAGGCCTTGATGGAGTTAATCAAGGATTACATGAATTGTTTCCATCTTATTATCAAGAGATTTCTAACAGGTGCCCATATCTTCATTAACATGCTTAAATCGTATCTAACTTATCATGTAAATATACATACTAATAATTATTAACTTCTCTTACATTTACATACCTTTTTTTAAAGGCACTCATTAAAATGTATTTCAACTGATAGATTTTTAAAAAGTTAAGAATAATTTGGGAAAGTGTGTAAATGCAAGGGTTGGTAGTAATTGTTAATGAGCGTATATATATGGTAGGTTAGATGGAATATAGCTGTGTTAACAAGTACCTACTGGGTACCCATTAGAAAAATCAAATCCTTTTTCTTTCTAATTATAGTTATTACCCTCCCTTATATTTACACACTTTACCTTATAACTTTATTTTTTAAAATACTTTAACGAGTGTCTGTTAAACACCCGTTAGACAAACCCTATTGCAAAATCCAAGTACAAATGAAACATGAGCTGAGAACAAATACAAAAGATATTTGTATTGATTAAAGTTTAGATGGCTTTCCAAATAATTGTGACCAATAATGGAAGGTACCAAACAATAAAATGCTGATAGTGAAATCAAATGGAATTAACAAATCAATTCCAGTAATGCAAAAGTAATGGTTGATGACAAATTCTCCAACAACAAACCTAATTTTTGCGTGCAACTAACCTCAGCCATTATAGTGACAATGCTAGTATGACACTCATCCTCCAAACTCAATTAATTATGCTTTATCTTATGTTAGTTTTTATGTTATTAATGGCGTAAAAGTAATAAAAAATATAGTTCTAGAAAAGAAAGTCATCACGTGAAATCCTGATAGTAACTCGTAAATTAAAGTTCAACCGTAACTCATAAAATTATTGATAGTAACTTCTATCTGTAGTTACAGGTGATATGCCATGCAACAAGTGAAATACTGATGCTGTAATTTGAGATGAATAGCTGTTTATAGATTTGGCACCCAAGAAAAAGAAGGGAAGAAATGGTTAATCCTGCATCCACTTAAACTTTGCTTGTTGCAGCAGCATCCCCTAGAACAAGATGACTATTCAGTAAAATCAAACTTGTGAGAAGAATTACAGAGTATTTCTGTTAAGAATGGCATAATGCCAAACTCAATCTTATATTAACCTAACCTGTATTTACACATCAATGAATCAGCATATAACTGAAAGTATAAATCAAAAGCTATGCACATGTAATACTTTACAGACTGTGATACAAAATCAGCAAAATCAACTTGTGAGAAGAACAATGAATATTTCTGTTAAGAAAGGCATAGTATCGAACTCAATCTTACTTCTTAAGAGGTATTTAGAAGTCATGAATAAGCATATAACTGAAAGTAGCAATGAGACTATGCATGTGTAATACTTTACAGAACATGATACAAATGGATTGAATCAGCCAACAGGATAGAACCCTCGAGTAATAGGTTTGCAAGGTTAGGAAAATTTGACCTATTTGGAGACCCCATGCATAGCTTGGATGTATTTCCTAGGAGTTGTAACTTCGCAGGCGTAGTCTAGTCTAAACTTTTGCACACTTTCATGTAGCTTTCAATTATTTTTTCCTGTGAAAGGTCTGTATAATACCCTTTGCCAACATTCAATTTCTCTTCTGCAGCAAGCTTCTCAACTTCAAGCTGAACTTGATCGCCACCAAATTTACTTGGTTCTAGTAAGTTGCAAGCTACCTCAATGACACCATCACCATGGGTTAGTGCCATAGATTGCACTGAAGGAAGTCCGCCTCCTCTTCCACTTAACCTCTTGGCTATTCTACGAACAGCAGCTGTGTCATTACAAAAGACTGGGACGTTGTAATTGTCAACCCACTGTGTAGCTCCTATTACAATGATACCTTTTGCTTCAACTGCAAAATCAGGACCCTGATCTGGCTTTAGCTGTAAAATCGCTGATTTGGGCCCACCTGTCCATTGGTTTCCACTAGAATCAGGCTTGAAATATCCCAGTTCCCTCCTGATTGAAGCAAGAGATCTTCTTTCCCTATGTGCTGCTCCATACAAAAAGGTAGGAACTGCAAGTAATTGTGTAGATCCTTAGAAAAGCTGGAAATGTTAGTAGCAGAATAAAAGGATAAAAAAAATATAGAGAACTGTTACTAACAATCCTTTTGGCTATTATGATGTCAAGTTTGCAGATAATGAAACAGATTTGCTCAGAAAGATGCACAAGAGAGGTGCTTGCAACTGCAAGGTACTCCACAAAAAGGAAGGGGTTATGAAGATAAAAAGAATAAATAAAGACAGAAGAATGAATTAAGTGAAAGTACCAAAAAAAAATGCAGAAAAACCTGGGAAATATGCTCTTGGATAAAACAGACATTGACATAAAAATGATCTTCAAGATTAATAGTTTGTTGAATCAAGATAATGAAACTTGGCCTTATTTGTGGTTCAGTCAGTTAATATTTATAATTGTTGTGCAAGGACCTGATTATATTGGAACAATTGAAAGTCATTCACCAATATGGAGGAGGAGGAGCAACAAACAACAATTTATTCAAATCAAGCTATAAGCAGAAAAAAGTTCCTTGAGTTCGAGTATTAAACATGTGTGAGTAAGCAGTGTGCCAGCAGCTTCATCGCATGTTTGGGGATGAATCAGGTAAACTTCCAATGTTCATTTACTTCAACATTTGCACCATACAATTTATGCTCAAGACTGCTAGTCATTCAGACTAAGAATGACGAAAATGATTTCAAAAAATATTAAGGGTCCTATGGACTGGACTGGAGCTCAAAAAGCCTGGTGCTCATCATTGCTTAACACATGTCTGCTGGCCTTACAAAGGAGAGAAGACACGGTTTTCAGAGGATAGCATACTAGAATAAGGATTTCCACCAATGAGCTATGTTATCTCTTATTGTCACAACCAAGATACTTCACAAGGCTAAGTTTACAAATGGCCCTGGAAGCATATCTTAGTTCAAAGAAAGAGCAGAAGTTCCAACAACAGATTGATGTTGTTTTATAAAAGGTTCTAGTTAGGACACTAAGATTGAAGTACATAAGCTCTATGTAATCAAAACCAAACAACAAGTATTGGAGCTCTACAGAGTAGACATCTGCTTTTTAAGGATGCCATGTTAAGAAGTGCCCTAGGAATTCTAAACGCTTCAAAGGGTTCATCTATCAGGCATCCACAATTATATTGCATGACGTGTTTTCAGTAATTGAAGTTCCAAAGCTTGATTTATAAACCAGTCTAAACTACTTATGGCAGGCTAACATGAGGATTTTGAACCAAAAGGGAATTGAGAAAACAAAGTTGCCTGAATAAAGAATGAGAAGACAAAGTTGGGCAAAGTGTTGTCTTGTGAAACTTATATGCAGGCAATTCAATGGGAACAACTGATCCTACTGATTAGAATTAAGATTAAGAATGGCCACCTGACACCTAACAGGTATGAATGACTTTTTGTAATTGGAGGTTTAGTAGGATATTCAGTTGTGCAGCACAAGGTTTGCCTTTCTTTCGGCTCAAAATCTGATGCAACAAACTAATAAAATGAAAATCCTAACAGGAAATTTTCATCAAAGACTAACAATGCATCAGCATAACGTTGGAGCATTAGGTGTCAGCATAGATAATCAAGCAACTGTCAAATGAAAGTTATTTAGGAGATGCTAATGTAGTCAGTACCCCATTCTCTAGCTGATTAATGTACTTGTTGGGAAAAACCTTAATCAGCAAAAGTAGCTAATTTCTTCACAAAGTCAAAAAAACATCAAGACACCACAAACAGCGTATTACACAGACTAACACACACACACACCCCTTTCGTCCCAAGTGAGCCACAAGGGAAGACTTAGCTACCCTCAATCTTGAACAGAATATCCTATAAAAGAAACTAATACTGACAGGAAAGAACCACAACAACACAAAAACTGCACTCACAACCCAACGAGCAGTCTTAAGTGAGCAAGTGCTTTCACTAAAATTCTTAAGGAAGTAGCTTGTCCTGAATACCATATGATCTTATTAACAACGCTGGTTGACAACAAATAAAATCAAGCATTGGTCTTAAAATGCAAATTTGCAGTATAAAACTAGAGCTACAGGAGAATTCGGACCTTTAAGATTTGAACCAACATCAGCTGCCAAAGCATTTGCAGTCCCAGCCACTTGTTCCAAACTAGTACTCTCCAATGGATGAAAACAAATATGGTCCACAACACCAAGCCTAGGATGACTTCCAGAATGAGCACCAAGATCAATGCTTTGAAAAGCAGCTTCAACCATGGCAAAGACAGCCCCTTTCAGAGGATCAGAAGATGGTTTTGAACCCAACTTTGAAACAAGAGTGTAACCAACTCTATTGTAAATTTCATCCTCAAACTTATTAATAATTGGAGCTTCTGGGAACAACTTAGCAGCCCTCTCAATTGCCTCAAGAGCAGCCTTGTTCCTGCTTTCTGATATGTAAACTTTGCAGCAAGATAACATCAATTTTGACATCTTTTCTTGTTCTGAAAATCCCTCTTAATCTGCATAATGAATACTTTTAGCAGATAATTTGAGACCACTGGAAAAATTTTTGGACATTATTCATGCAACCCTATAACTCCAAGAAGCAGAGTTCCGATTCAGATACTGGAGCATGAATATCAATTTCAATGTTAGGACTAATTACACAGGAAAACAGAATGAAAATAAAACAACAATTTAAATTCTTGGAGAAAAGCATTAGCTGATACTATTAAGCAATAAAAAAATCTGGAAGAGAAATGAATATTAATTAGCATCAGCCCACATTAGAAAAAATGTCAATCATTTGAAGAATTTTGCAGAGGGAATGTTAGAGCCTGTATAAAAATGGGCATGTACCAATTACGATGAGGATTTTCTTCTTCTGAAGTGAAAAGAGTGGAGGAAATTTTGACGTTTCAGTAAGATATGGTTTCTTTGCTGGGCGGAAGAATGTAGACTTTCAATGTGGATCTGGCCCAAGGAGACCAATTATGAACAATGTAAGATGCTAATGGGCTGCAGTAGACTGGGCGTGGAGTTCGTAGAATTATCGGGACTGGATCAGAATATTGAACCGACTGTGGGCCATTCATAATTGAATTCCAATTGTCTAATCCCTAAGACCTTGGTTAGCTGATTGGTAATTAGTAAAGAGACTCTGAACCCCTTTCTTTATCTTTTTTCTTGTAAGGTTTGAAATCTTTTATTGAGGAAAAAAATTCTAATTATCTACTAGTATTCGAGAATGAGTTTAAAATTGTGTTCAAATTTAGTTTCTTTCATTTATTCTATTCAAGTCCGGTTTCTTTTATCTATCTAAATTTATAAATTTGTTTGTTGTGTTAATTGACATATCCGTTACACTTCGTACATTATTTGGAATTTCTTATATCTAAATTTTTTATGTTAGTGGATATCTCCTTTGGAACAATTGTCTCCACCTATAGAGCACACGGCACAAATAATTATCAAACTATTTCAAACTTCATGATTTGGTTACTAAACTTTTTATTCAGTCTAGATGGTCGCTCAACGACTGAAAAAAGTATTATTTTTGTTAGTTAACTAATAACAACGTATATATTTTTTCTTACTCTTCTAATGAAAACGTATACCTTTTCGACTGTAAAATGTACGTTTTAATTAGTTGAATCACCATTTTAACTAAAATAAAAAGTCCAATGACCAAAACATGAAATATCAAATAATTTTATGACCATTTTTGCGACTTGCTCCCCGGCCAAAAGAGAGAAGAAAATGTTCTTTAAATGATGTAAATGCATTTAGAGGTGTGGAGGTGTAGAAATCACACCCTCAACACCAACAGAAGGGCTTAAAAATCTTAAATCTTAATTTGCATCGATCGATCGATCACGGATCACGTCTTCTTGCCGATGCCTCATAAAGCCTTGGAGTGAAAGGCACACAATATCGCGCTTTTTCACATATCTCTATACAGAAATCACGCTCACCATATCCATACCGTTCCCTAAATTTAAAACGGTTAATTTGCTACGCCAGACGTCAAATTTTTACAACTGTTCTCAATCACATAATTATGACATAATTCAGCTACAACCCCTCCTAAATTCCATACTTTTAGTTTATGCCATTTGGTGGATTTGGCCAAAATTTTGGACTTATGAGGCTTCTAACCAAACCGAAAAAACAAATTCTTGTATGTTTCATGGTAGAGCCATGCAAATTTAGAGCAGAAAATGGGGTTAATTAACAAGAATGGAGATTGATTAGTGCATAGATAAAAACTGTCATACTAAAAGGAGATTCAGTAATGCTTCTACCACAGCTACAAGGCTTTGGTTTCTTGATTATGGTCTTCCCCATAAAAGTATAAAACTCCACATGGGACAGGATTTAAGAACTTGGGCTTGGGAGTGAAGCAAGGCTTTCACGCCTTTCCCAGTTGTTAATACAAATACAAGACTTCATTGGAGTCAAAACCTTGTTGTTTGCTCCACACACACACACACACACACACACACACACACACACACACAAAAAGAAGAAGAAAGAGGAGGGATTGTTCTTTAAGCTAATTGTTCTTTTTCCTTTGATTTGTATTCATCTACACATTTTGCATCCACCAAAAATGATTTCCATTACTTTTTCTTGATTTTTTTTTTTGGGGTCAATTAAATTATCATTTCTTGGGCGGTCAATATCCTCCATTTTGAACTCAACACAAAAGAACTACAACCCTACGCATGAAAAAAGCTAGAATAGTTGCTTGTGCGTTTAAAAGGGCATACAAAAAGCCATTAAGTATAGATGGCCACAATGAACAATTGGAAAAGTGCCAGTTTAAATTTAATCAAAGTTTAAGCCCTGAACTGAAAAACAAAAAAAAAAAAAGAAAAGATTTTTTTTTTCCTATTGATCACTATTTGCTGTGGGCAGTCTTTGACTCATTTGCAAAACACTCCTCGAAAGCAACAACCAAAGTTGCATAAAAGTCTCCATCATCTAAGCCTTTGGACACAATTCCCATGCACCTTCTTCATTCTTGTTAACTCCGCTACAATGTGTATGGAGAGAGAGAGAGCAGTTTGAAGGTCCAATTTAGATGACTAAACCAACAAGAGAGCTGTGATTGAAAAGAAAAGCACAACACGTAAGAGATTCCAAAAGAGAGAGGACTTCTGATTCTATCACTTTCTTTTCTTGCTTCGCTTCTGAGGTTAGATTGATCACACTCCTAGGCAGAGTGATTTAAGGGAATGGGGGGACTGATGAAGGTGTATCATCATGGACATGGTACCAGCAATAGAGGGCAGCCTTATGGCTTAATGCTTCTGATAGCATTTGGAGCTGCCATTATTGGAGTTATGGTGGTGCACAAGTTCAGAGAGAGACGAATTTTCAACCTTCTTCTCACAGAAAAAGACCGTGAACTCACAGCTCTTCAGCTTCTACTGCAGGTTCGAGCTCCTCATCTCTCCCTTATATGAGTCTATACATCTCTTACTTGTCTATGCAAATGCTTATCAGTCATGTGCACTCGACCCAATTCCTGAAGTTCTTGCATGAATGAAGTACACAGAATTGCTGGTTGCAGCATGCCTATAACTGGTATCTGTACAATTCAGTGGAGGGTTTTCTCTCCTCAATCATCTTCTCCTATCCTACTATTGATGCGCTATTCTTCTTGCATTAGACTGCACTGCAGTTTGTTTTCTTCCTAGCTTTCTAGAGAAAAGCATAGTCAGGATTATCTGCAATCATTTCTGAAATCACCGAGTTTAAACAGATTCAAGACCTGAATGGCTTTGAATCTTTTGACTCCTGCCTAGCACTAGAAAAAAAAAAAGGGTGCAGCTATTGTAATATTCTTTGAGCATATTTGGGAGTAGATTAGGCCTCCCTTTTTATCCCAAGAAACTATTATGTTATTGCTTTGCATGAAACAACCACTGTAAAGAGGATATATGACAACGTACCAATTAGTGAGTCAAAGGTAGTTAGAGAGCATGAGGTGAAAAACTCCCAAGGGAATAAGGTTACATTGGAAATTTTATAGCAGGAATTATTGCCTTTGAGAAGCATAATTATAGTATACCTGCAATTTTCGATTTCAAGGAACTTCACACCCAATTTCTACATAAGCTTGGCCAGAAGTGATGATGGAGATCAATTTTTCGTTCCTACCAATTTTAACTAAATGAATCTCGAGTAAGTCCGACTCCAAATTATGGTTCTAAAAATGCAAGTGATTTCTGCTTTAATTCCCAAAGTTAAACTTCCAATTAACAAATTATGAAGGAGATGTGTTTTAAGTTTCCAATGTTCAGGGAGATGCAAACATCCAATGATTCGCCGTCTAAATTAGAAAACTTTTGCAATTCTATGCAAATAATGGTATGCAGGATATGTTCTGACAACTCATGCCCTGCAATCTGGAATATGAAACATATCCATATACAGTGTTGTTAGTAATGCATATGGAATAACTAATACTTGCTTTGAATGCAATATCTCTGAGCTAAGACCATGCCCTATGCACTATTTTTCAGAAGGAAAGAGAACATGCCAGACAAACTAAATTGAAACTTGAAGAGATGAAAGCCAAAGTAAATACTCTTCGAACTCAAAAAAGGGGACTTGATGGTAAGATCATGGAGATGCGATCTACAATCTCTTCCCTTAGAGAAGAACAAAGGACAATTGAGTTGGTACTCGAGGAAAAGCAAAATGAGATCAAACTAATCAGAGGAAGAGAGACATATGTCAGCAATGATAACCCTCAACTTAAAGCCCTATCACAGATGGCAAAGCAGAAAGAATCGGGAGTTGAGGAGTTGAAGAACCATCTTGAAGCTCCTGTCAGGATCTGGTCGGTGAGCACAGACGATCCATCAAATGCATCTATAAATCTGCAAACCAAGACAAGTTTGACAGAAAGGGATCAAGCAAATGCTAATGATGGAAAGCAAGTTAGTGCCATGATGAATGAATCCACAAACCATGAAGTTGCAGACAGCTCAACAGAACAAGCAGAGAGCGGCAGAAGCAAAGCTGTGATCAGTGAAAATGAAGAACAAACAACACCAAGTGAAGATGGAATGGAGAATGGAGAAACTAATGTTGCAAGCAGAGAAGAGATTGGAGAACAGAGTCATAAAGTGGATGATTCAGAAGAAAGTATGTCGGAAGATAGAAGCACCCCTGCTGGGGAAAGAACTGATGGAGATGCAGGTAAGAACATCAATACTAAGTCTCAAAGTGGGGAAGCTTTAGTAGTGCCAGAAAATAATGACATTGCAAGGACTGAGGCTGTTGGGAACCATGATGCTGAAGTGCAAGGGGCCTCAGATGATATGAATGAAATGCAAACTACTCAGAGTAAAGTGCTTCAAACATCAGGGGATGGTCTTGCAGGGAAAATAGTTAATGCCCAAGGTGCTGAAAATCAAGATGCTGTGATTACTTACAAGGGCGGAATGAAGTTAGAAATGCCAGACCAACCCCAGATTTGGCAAAATAGGCTGGAAAGAGATCGCTATTTAAAGAAGACTAAAAGAAAATGGCTGAATAAAATACATGGAAGTAAAGGAAGCACAGGGAACTCCGTCAGCAAAGAAGCTGCTGTCATAAAGGATAAAAGCTTCATTCAGGGCGCACTGGAAAGTGAAAGGGACGGATATAATGAGAACTTGACGGTGGTTACTGAATCCAGTTCAGTCTATCATGATAAAAAGATATCTGATGATCTTCAGACGGGTGAAAATTCGAAAATGGAGGCCAATGAAAATGTTCTAGAGCATGGTGAACTGCAAGAGGATTTGGACCCGAAAAAAGCAGAAAACAACACAGAAGAGGGTAAGGATGGGCCAAAAGGCACTCGGTTGCTAAAGCAAGAAAAACATCAAGAAGATAGAAATATTACCACTCATCTGATGGCAGAAAAATGGCAGACACTAAATAATACAAGCATAAGCACTGAACTTGAAAATATTCCCTTGGAGGACACACCAACAAGCACAACCATCCACATTGAGGAAGCAACATCCTCAAAGGCCAAACATCAGGAACAACCATATCTGGAAGAATCAGAGCAACAAGCCGTAGAGCTCCATCGGCCGGAAGAGAGAATAGATGCTCATAAAGATGAGGTTTCAGAACAAACAGAAACTGATAACAACGACAAAGAACTAGACAATCCTGAGATGGAGAATCTTAAAGAGACTGAATCAGAAAGTGATGCTTCCAGAGAATCCTTATCAAACTTTGAAACAGATGGAGAATTGAACTCTGACAGATCTAACGAGCCTGAGTATTAGTAGGTGCATATAGACGGTCGATGTTTATTGGATACTTTAGATTTTTTCAATTGGAGCTTTTCAAACGATACTTGCGTGGCTGCATTTGGGGACTTTTATTGCTTTATCTTTTGAAGGACTTCTTCATTATTTATACCCATACATATGAGATCTAAGTTGAACAATTGCAAGTATACCAAAAGCTAGTGAAGATGACAGACTTCCAAAAGACAGTAGAGGTAGATAAACAAACTGCAGCCTTGATTAGCTAATTTTACAACCAGGTAAAAAAGTCTTAAAATGAAGTAAGTTGCACGTTCCCAAGCTTAATGTCAATATCACTCTGGACCTAGAATTGCTATTTTCTGTTTCTTAGTTCCCTTTGCCAACAGTCAAAGCAAACCTTATGTTGCTACCATAGCCAACTTATCAAACTATCTACATAGCCATAACAAAACAGGTCTTATCAAGCTGGCGGTTGCATCTGTTTATCAAAATACTGCACTGTTCCACTAGGCCTTTTTGTCAGGTAAGCTCGGCAAATTTACCAGAGAACACGTCAGATTGTGACGTTTTCTCCAAGTTTATGCCCTTTTAAACGTTAGATATACTCATTTAGAAACTGTTCTTTTCCTTTTCCTTTTGCAGTAAAGTTAACATGATCGTGCACCAGACGTCAAACAGAAGAAGGCGATCGATGAAAATGAGACATTTCATTGGAGTCTAACGCTCCTTATGGTCATTTCCATGTCTCATTGATCATTTCACTGGATACAAGCTGCATGCAAGTGTTTCAACTGTTAGATCTGTTAAATCTTATATGACAGAAGAGTTGAACATTAACCGCCTGTAACTTCGAGGTTGTTATTTTTTTTCTGTTTACTCAATAGGTTTTAAGTAGCTAAAAAATGGGGTGAGGAGATATTAACCTCGAACTTGAAGGGGCCTAGTGCAACTGTGCAAGTCAAGAGAGTACAGTAAAAACCTTCCCTTAAGAGAAAAACCTTATCTAATGTCCAACCTAATTCTTGGGGTGTAAAGAAGGAGAAAAGGTTAGATAAAGTTAGCAAAGAATTCAGACAAAATCATAAGAAAAATAGTTGAAATTGATGAGATCAATCGTCAAATACAAGTCTAACAAGTGACAACCATAATAGGTTACAGATTATCACTTCTGATGAGTTTACCCCCAACGACAATGATAGAATCACCCCGCACATAATTAGGATCCAAAAACCTTATCAATTTCCACCTGCGGCTTCAACATACATATTTGGAAAAGTAAAATAAGAGCATTTGAAATTGAAGCTTATGGAGGAAGTTTGGCTGTGCACCAAGACGTTATTGAGAAAACATTCTGGTGTAGAAGCAAAAACTTCAGCTGTATAAATTGTTTCTAACAGGCAACGTAAAACATGCTTAGAATGCCAAGATCCAAATGCCTAATAACTGACTAGTTAGTTTCCCAGCAATAGATGTCATTCACACATATTACATCGCATTCTTGTCTTAGAACTTATTCAATGAAGAGGGATCAAGAGAACTTCCCAATTCAGTGAGAAAGGAAACTGGAAATGTAAAGTGCATATGTGAAAGGAAACCTCTGACATCTAACATTATGGGTTTTGGGTGTCTTCGGCCTACTTTGAAGCTTCGACTACATTCTGCAAAAATAAGATTAAAATAAGAAATCAGCCATCAGATTTTGCAAAATATCAAGTAAATTCATGTCATAGCAGCATAAGATACAAATAACGACAATGTAAACTAAAAATTTGGGCAGATTGTGTTCCAAATTAGCCATCAGATTTTGAGTTTCATACATCTGTAGTTGCATGTCATTGTTAAAATAGAGTCATCTGCTTCCACTTACATCGATATCGTGCCTTCCGCCTTTATTATAAATTCATTCTTTTCTCAAGTGGCAGGGTGGAGGATTTAGAGTTTCTTGTCACAAAGCTTTTTTCTTGGTTTTTCTCTTTCTATGATATGGGAATTCTTTTCTCAAGTGGCAGGGTGGAGGATTTAGAGTTTCTTGACACAAAGCTTTTTTCTTGGTTTTTTCTCTTTCTATGATATGGGAATACAGAAATCCCAAGTAAAAAGTTCCTTAACAGGGCCCAATACTGTACTATATACTTCAAACAGGTGTGACTGAGAAAAAGACATCTGAGATTAAAAAGACTAAGTCGAATTTATGTTTTATAAAAACTAACACCAAGTTTTGTCATTTACAGTATCAGCAATTTTATGAATGCAAAAGCAGAAAACTACTCAATTTTAGACATTTTGATCCACACAAATGCTTGAAATGTTTTGCTTTTCCAATCTGGATATAAACATGAAATCTGCAAAATGCTCCAGTGAAAAACCTTCTTGTGCTACTGACACTGGAAAAGAGGCATTTGATATTAGCCTTTCATTGATACTTCTTCAAACAATGACAAACATATTAAGTACTGTTTCCTAAAGCAGAAAGTAAACAGTAATACATGTATATAAGTGTTAAAACCAGTTATATTTGAGGATAAATTTAACAACTAGCAAATTTCTAAATACATGACAAAAATCAAACTTGAAAAGCAAGAGAAGATTACCCCTTCCTCCTTCTTTTTGCCTCCAGTGGCAAACTTGTAAGCCGTGGTGAAAAGCAAACCCCAGCCAGTCCAACAAATAATCACAAGCTGCAATACATGACACGTAGTGAGCAAAATTCCAATCTTCTCCACTTCAAGAATTCATAGCACCATCAAGTTACAATTATACATTAAAATAATACTTTGGAAAGGATAACAGGACCATGAATATATCCTAGAGAAGACATCTTCGCAGTTTCAAGTAAGATTATTGTATTAATCAATGCCTAGAACTCAATAAAGGGATAAAAAATTCATGCCTTTAGGCACATAGACCTATTCAACCTAACCAACATGCAAAAACAGGAATAAAGTACTAACTTTTGCCTGGTCCAAATAAATGCTAGGCAAATTACCTTCTGAAGCGACGGGAAACCTACTCCTACAACCATTCTACAGTACTGTAGTTTAACCAATGTTGTAGTTTTTAGTTACCCAACACCCATATTTCCATTTCAATCCATTATTACAGTTTCAAACCTTACCTAAAGTAGCAATATAAATGAGCCCAATTGAGCCAAGTAATACAATATTCAAGCCTGGTTTGCATTGTAAGGTTAAAATTGTACTCAAGAAACTAGCTTTTGTCTATCCCAGCTTGAGTCGCTTGATTTATCTATATATAAATTTCAAATCTTATGCTTATCAACCAAACTCGAGCCTAACTTCAAAAGCTAAGGTAAAGTAATTAGCATGGGTAATCTGAACAATTAACATCAAGGGTAAACAGCGCAAAAAAAGGCCAGCTTTTTTGTGATTATAGATCAAAAGAAAAAGAAAACTAGGATCAACGCTTCTCAGATATCATAGAATTAGTTAGAATGGTATCTTAATCTCACTAATAACAGTCAAAATAATCCCAAAAAATTCAAATCAGAAAAGTAATTAGTATTGCTAATCTGAATAATTAACATTAAGAATAAACAGCCCAAAAAAAAGGCCAGTCTTTTGGGAATACAAGGTCAAAAGAAAAAGAAAACTAGGATTAACCCTCATCAGATTATGATAGCATTAGTTAGAATGGTACCTTAATCTCACAAATAAAAGTACAAATGATCCCACAAGATTCAAATTAGAAACATACATAAATAAACAAAGAGAACTTACATGCTCTTCTTTCCACTTAGACGGATTCATTGGATCTTTCCAAAAGTCCACCTTCGCAGGTCCATGATGATCTACAAGATTAAATTTTTAAACGATTGTCAGATTTCAAGGCTGGAAATCGATTTGAAAAGTATAATGTAGGTTTGAAGTTGGTACCGGCGGCGGAGGCGAGGCCACGGCGGTGGACGAGAGAAGCCGCTTGCGAGGCCGAGCTGGGAGGAGAAGCGAACCGAGTTGTCAGGATTGCCGCTCGTCGAGCCGCCATTGAAGCTATTGAAGACGCCATTTTTGGATAGAGGTTTTAGCTCAGTCGAAGTGATGAATCAAAGAAAGGCTTTGGAAATGATCAAAACGACAATTCTTTATAAGAACGCAGCTGATGACCAAGAATTAGAAGCAAAACTTCTTGGGTTAATAAAACCTTGGCCCCCCGAATTTTGGGGATAGTCGCATTTTACGACCGTCAACGTTAAAAATATACACTTTTATTCTCATAAAAACTAGTTGAGGTTAGAAACACACACACAAAAGTGAGTGTAATGACACTATTGACTTTTATTTGTGAGTTTATCTATAATTTACTATTATTTTCTTTTATTGCTAAAAGATATACATCTTTTGTATATTATATATTATACCAAAATATCAAATTGATAAGGGCTAAAAAAAGGTTTATATTTGGTTTATTCTTGTTGAAATTTTTCCTGTTGAATTAATCGCTCTTATATATACTTTGTTCAATTTATTAAATTTTAAATCAAACAAAGGAATAAGTAACACAGTATTAATAATAAATACAATTAGCAAAATTTTGAAAGAAAAAGGAAATAATAATTTTTCATTTTTTAAATAATAGTTGTTTATTATTTTAGTTTATGTAAACTATTAGAATAATATTGTTATCATTTTTTATTGATCAACTATTAAACTTTTAATCAAAATTGTTAAAAATGTTTGATATGCCCTTTTTTTAATTTAGAGAAGAAAAATAGAGATTCAATTAAACTACTTTTTTTTTGTTTTGGGGCCGTGGGCGCGGGGGGGGGGGGGGGGGGGGGGGGGACCAATGATAGTAAACTATAAAAAATTTCAGCAACAAAATGGGCAATTATGCCATAACTCTCACTTGTCTTTTATGGGGCTAAGATTTTCAAGATGGCTATTCTTCACGAGAGGAGGGGAAGGTGATGCGTATCTCTTAAGGTTGTGAGTTAAAAAAAAAAAAAAAAGAAATGGTTGAGAGTGATAAAGTGTGCCTACTCCCAAAATTTATCGGGGCAAAGTGTGATTAACCCAAAATTCTATACCGCCCAGTATTTCTTTTTTTTTTTTGAAGCAAATATTTCTGTTTGCCCTCACAAGTTGACAATTACTATTTTGGCATAGTGTACTTTCTTTCTTTTTCTTTTTTCTTCTTTTCTGAAATTCTTTTAAAATCCACAGAATAAGGTGAGAAAAAGAAATTGGGCAAAATTTAATTGAAAATCCGATTTAGACTTCGAATAATAACCAAGTGATATATTTGAATGTTTTATTAGGTGTCATTTTCTCAGAGAATTGATTGATTCAACATCATGGACACAACAAATTTGGTAATCTTTTGAATAAGAAAAATGAAAGCCTAAGAACTGAACATATCTTATGCTGAAACAGAAATTGAATGTTGCGCGTGGAATACTCTAACTATAAGCCACGAATACAGCAAATGGTTATTTCGCAAATTTCATTGTATGGGTCGGTCAAATTAAGTTTTTACATTGTCAATATAATCCTTGTAAAAATCATGAATTGTTCCTCTCTAGGAGCAAGTTGCCACTTGATCTTAGTAGTTACAAATGCAAAGCATGGAATTGCTCCCACGAGAGATTAAAAGAGAATGATACGTGGTCGAAGAGAAAAAGATATGTTTACCCATCACAAATTCACGTTTAGGGCTGAATTATGGGAGGGTCAAAGAAAATGTACTATGTTTACCTATTACAAGTTCATGTTTAAAGCTGAATTATGGATTGTGCCGAAGAATTATCACGTACACCATGTGTAGTATCACATGGTGCATTAGTATTGACTCTCGATTAAAAGTTATAAGTATTATAATGATCATTTGTTGTCTAGTATTCATTAGATAAGGAATGACTCACCATCATTATTTAGCGATGAATGATTGATACTAGTACAACATGTACATATAAAACGTAATACACATGATCTATCCAATGATATACATAAAATATTCCCATCTCATCGTGAGCCCCCCGATTATACAATGTGCAGGGAGAAAGGACTTGCAATTTCTTGAACCTAGCCTTGCAATTGTTTGAAGCTTAGATATTCTGTGGGGAGCTTGGTGATGGCCTTAGAGGATGAGAGGGTTAGTCGGGTACCACAGCGGGAATTCTCCGGATTAGACATTGCACATAGAAGAAAATGGACAGAATGCAGAACGTTAATTTGCTTATATTGCTTAATCAGAGATGCATCATGAAATCAGTCACATAATAGCTGTGAATTCCACATCTTTTTGCTAGTTATGCAAGTTTTGATTGCTTGATATTTCTCTAGTCTTTCATTGGAAGAATATAAAAGAGAAGAATTGTATGGCCTAGTTCACGCATTGACTCCAATGAACACATCAAATCCTACTCTGAGTTATATTATATTTGACTGCTTTACTTCATCCGCTACAACTACATATTGTGGCAGGTCCAGTTTGGCAGATCAAAGGATGAGCTTGTGCCAATAGATGGAAATTATTTAGTGCAAGAAACTGAAGGTATTCTACTTGATATCCACTATCTAATGAGTAAAGAGAAAAGGTGACAAGAGAAAGGAAAGGTTTACAAGGGAGAACAATGCCAGAAGTATCCTGAATTACAAAACCTGAGCCTGTTTTCATAATCTGAAACACCAACAGCCTCTCTTTTTTGGGGGGTTGGGGGGAAGGCCTGAAGATTAGTTTTTCTACATATTCATCAACAAAAAATTTGACCAAAGTGGAAAGAGAACAACGAGGATGAGAACAATTCCAAGACCAATGGCAATGCATGTACATTTTCTTGAGCTTTTCTGGTATTCCCTAGCTTCCTGAAGTTGTTCAGTGCCTCGCCTAACGAATGAACTAGCATGTGCTACATGACTTTCAATGTCATTCAGCTGTTGCCCTTGTGCTTCAACAAGCGCAGCCATGTCCAAGAAAATCTGGTGGAGTTCAATCAAATTCTTTTCAATCTCCTTGACAGAATCATGCCTTTCTTGGATCTCAGAAATTGTATCCAGAATCTGGCCTCTTCCTTGTTCCTGAATTGCCTTCTGAAGGAATGTCTCACTTTCACCGCTTGAAATCAAATTCTCAATGAGATCATCGTTTGCTTTCTCCCCTGTTACTGTAAAATATCTTCTTCCTACTGTTTCTTTGTACTCAGCATTCATTTTAGCCCTCAACCCTTGAAAATCATCCATCAAATCCTTCAGCTTTTTGCCTAAGCCGCTGACAACAGAAGTTCTAGTCCTATCAGTAGAGGACCCTGGACCGCATCCTGGAACCTTTCGATTAGCTTGATTAGACCTATCGAGAGCCTCAAGCTTTCCTTTAATAATCTTTACTCGTTTTAGAACCTGACAGACATCTGAGTCCATCCTAGACCTGAGCTCTTTCATGGTTTTTGCATTGTGTACCGTTTTGCTCTCTTCATTTGATTCTTGCAATCTCTTGTAGAGTTTCTCGACATCTTCCATGTCTTTCTTGACATTCTCTACATCGTCAAAAAATTTATTGAGATTACTATCATCATTTCCAGACGGGCTACCAGCCTCAAGATCGTCAATGACCTGACGTTTGATGTCCTGATACTTTTTAAAGGAATGGGAGAATAGATCATTCATCTTGACTACTCTCTGGGCACAATTCCTCCTCTCTTTGCCAAATTAGGTTCTCCTGTGAAAGCAGGATTTCCACACAGGGAGGATTTGCCTTGTCCTAACCTTCTCTCTTCTCTCCCTAGGTAAGCATGTAATCGCCAATGGCTATTTTCATACTCATGAAAAGTTGAGGGAAGAAGAGAAGGTGACAAAAGCAAAGCCTTCATTAAGAAACAAGTTTGATTCATTGTTTGGAAAGAATAGATGATTATTATTAGAGGTATGTAGTAGTTATCAAAGCTCAACCAAAGTAACATGTGGACTAACGTTAAAAGTGGAGAAAGTTACTCATTAAATTTGCCTCAGACACTTGGACAATGACTTCTGAGAAATTGTCCCAAGAATTAGGATTGACCTGGTCCACTTGTAAATTTATATCTAAACCTATAAATAGAAGGCTAATTAGGTAATACAAGTTCAATCTGGGATCAAGAAATCATTAGCATTAAAATGATCATTAGCAGGCCAGCCAAAAGATTGTGATGGATTTATCGTTTGCAACCAATTGGTTAGCAGAAAATGAATAGGAAATTTGAGATTTCTTCATTTGCTATAGAGCAAATGAGGAACTTCTGAAAATTCCTTTTATTCATTACATTGGACATGTGACTCGCGGAATCTTTCAGTCTTGTAACTATGCACCCAATTGCTTCCTCGCCTTTGGAAAAACTGCTTTAGAAGATGGACAGAGAAATAAAAGGAAAAGTGAAAAATGGAGAATAACAATTAGCATAACCAAGCAACCAGGCCACCAAGAAACTTGGACAAAGAATGAAAAATAAACAATGTAGGAATAACCTGTTGACTCCAAACTCCATACCAAACTCTCAAAGTTTCGATTTGGGGATGTTCTATGCTGCAAGTATCAAGATTTCCAAAGCTCCTATCATAACATCGATCATTCCGACTGACTGGAGCATGCGTCTCTATTACTTTCTTGAGTTATGTTTCCTAACGCTAACTTTGGGAATCCAGAAAATTTTCTGTTCAGTTATACGTGCCTGAACAAAAACAAGAAACGTGAAACAAACTTATGTATGGATTTCAGAATTTGCTCGGTGCTGAGGCTGCTGTTCTGCTTGTAATTTTAGTTGCATGAGAGTACATTTTAAACTTGTTTCTTGAACCTGACGTATGAAACCAGAAAAACACTGATCAGAGGAAAATTATCGTAACATAAACAGAAATAGGTGATGCTCTTCTCATACATTTAGCAAGTGTAAGATAACTGCCTACTTAATTCGTTTCAAATGACTATATGCCAAAATCTTTCAATGTATTTTGCTGATATCACTATTTATCCTATATTATGTATGTTGGCACACGTATTTGAAATATAAAGAGAACTTGTTTTGGTCATGGTAAAAAAAAAAAAAGCAAGAGCAGACTAACTATGTTTGGCAAAAAATAGCTTTATTTGTCAATAAAAGACATAGTCAGATTTCAATGTGTTATACTCTTACCTCTAAGGCAGAAATGAACTTGAAAAGCTCCAAGCACTCTTCTAACAACAATTTTTCTTGTGTGACTATCTCTGCTAGCTCTCTACACGCTGTCGCTGTCTTGTCAGCCTGCAACATTTGCGACTAAAACTAAGTATATATGGAGGAAAGGGACAAAAGAAATTTTCATAACGGATTAAATCTTTGTATACCATAGCCGGAAACTTAGAATTTGTCAACTTGATTGATGAAGTGAGATCTGATGCAGCTCGAAGAACCATAGAGAGTGATTGTGGTTCTATCTGCGTCACAGTGTTTGGTTATTTTTGTTATTGTTGTTTTTATCCCTTCCATAAACAATGCAAGTTTCTCAAAAAGTTAGCTCAGCTCATCAACCTACCTTTGCCCCTTCCACAAGGGGTACCTTACAAACAGCAGACTGCAAACATTCTTTGGTCACATTTACTGCTGATTTATGTTGCCTCTCCATAGAACCCCATGCTTCCAGTGACTTGATCTGCACTTATAGTTCACCATATAAGCATTACTTACACTTCTATCTAAGTGCATAAGAGATCTAGTCAATACTGGCTATTGTTAGAAAATTTTAAAAGAAGTGAGCAAGAGTAGCAATGCATTTTTACACACTTGAGATTGAAGAACGTAATTTAGTTTCATCTCTTGTTTCTCTCTCTCTAGCCGCAATTTCTTCTGTCTGACAGAGTGTTGCAACTTTGCTATACCGTTCCAAGCATATATTAAGTTGCTCTGCAAAATCAAAACGGCACTCATCAGTAACTTTAAGTTGAATGTCAACCAATCTAACAAGAACACTTTCGAGGGAAAAGTCACTAATAAACTACACCTATCAATAAAACAGACATAAAATGCTATAATGAACTGCACATATCAAGAACACTTTCTCATTTCGTTTGCCATTTAATATCAATAAAACAGCATAAAATGCTATAAATTTGGTCTGATGTGCAACTAAAAGTAATATTTTTTCTAGAATATGTTGATTCCAATATCTGACTGAACACTCAAAAGTGAACTTAATACATGACAAATTGTTTGACTGCTGATCTATTAGGTTACTTCTAACTTCAAGTACATCATCAACAACATTCAACCTGATCTCTTAGAAGCAAAACTAAAGTAAGATTTCTGTTGCTCAGTCAAGGCTCTCTGAAATTTGATCAAAAGAATGAAGTTCCTTTTACCCCAAAATGGTGCAAAAGTACCAATACCCCAGGAAAAGAATGATGCTTAAGGATATTTTTGCACTGTAAAAAGAACACTTGTGATGGAGGGTATCTGAGGACAAATTGGATACATTTTTTTGGTAAACGTTTTTGACATCTGTTGATCTCTCAAGGATTATTTGCATAAGTACTACCAGTTACATCTTCTGCAAAGTAAATATAGAGTTCTTTGATGCCTCCATGAAAGAAATGGCAATGGTACAGGAACAGGATAAGTGTTTTGATCTGTATACATGATCAGTCGAATTATCTGCTTTGTCATCTAAAACAAATTGGCCATGATCATACATTTTTACAAGGATTTTATCAAAATCAGCAAAACTTTTTCCCTCAAAGGGAAGATAAAACAATATTTTTGGCAAACTGCACTCTTCTCTTAAAGAAAGAAATAGAATAGAGATATAAAAGACACATATAATCTGATGCAATATTGGCTCTACCTAAACGCGAGAACCTCTGTCAGGTCCAAACAACCACCCAATGCAGGGGTTGATAGTACTTCTAAAGCAATATTTCTCCTCTTGTCCGAAATGATATCAAATTGTATCCAATTTAAGCACACATACTCCAACATTACTGAGCTACTAAATTGTTGGAAAAGCAATTATACAAACCTCAGATTGTTTAGTGATTTTTGAGTTGACAACCTCAGCTCTGGCATTTGCATACCTCCACTGCACCAACCTACTATGAAACATACGTAATTGATGAACACTCTCCCCTATGCCTAATCCTAGAGGTGATGAGACACCTGGAGAGTGTTTCTTTCCCTTCAACAATTCAAGACCCATGGTAAGCAGATTTCCAACTCCCTTAACTTTTGAAGGACTAGTAGGAGGCTTCATATTCGACATTGTCTTCCCCTTGTTTTCTTCGGACCCTGCAGGTGAGCTAGATCTCAAAGGTGATGTTCCCAATTTCGATGTCTCACTGCCATAAGCCTTCAGTGAATTGGACCTCTTCATTGCATTCTTTAAAGTAAATATTTTGGGCGAATTGTCTCCTGATACAGGCTTCTGAACTGTACCAGAATCTGAACTCCATCTACGAGACCTTAACGATGAATCTTGCAAATACTTTGATGGGATTTCGAGTCCATACATTCTTGAACTCACAGTTGGTGCCATATAGGACGCTGGAAAGCTTTTTCCAGTAACTGCAGAATCAAAACTCGTGCCCGAATGCATTTCACTCTGATCAGACTCTGAGTCCACCACCATATCAGCCAAGCAATCAGATCTTCGTCTTCGAAGCACAGTTTCATCTACTGAAAGCCTTCCAGGGGCTATATTATCATCAGACACGTTAGGTGATTTTGATGATGAGGGTGAATTCGATGATTTTCGAGAAAACTTAAACTTCCCTGTATAACGCATTGATGCACCAAAAAGAGGCTTATGATTCTCTTTACAAATCTTGTTTTCATTCTCAAATCTTTTAAACTCTGTACAGCTTCTCTGCCTATTCAGAAACGATGGATTATTTGATTTCTCCGGGTTCTTACGCTGCGCAAGGTCTATTAGTCTCTCATTTCCAATGCATTCAGCAAGAGTGCCATTCTTGGACTTTGAAGGTTGTGTTGAAGTTGTAGATGATGGTGAAGATGACGGCCAAAGCCCCCGCATAAACCCTGTACTATCCAAGTTGCTCTTCTTTCGAGTATCCGTAGGTGATCTACCGGGCTTTTGTCGAAGAGTAGAAGGACTATGGTTTGGAGAATTAACCACATTTTCCACTGATGGAGTTGAACTTGGTGATGACAGAAATCTTGAGCTGACTTCACGAGACTTGGCCTTCCTATGCCTCAACCGTTGGTGATCAAGAACCAATGGTTCTCCTTCTTGACTAGGCATTTTGATCAGAAAACACGCACAACACACAGTAGACAAAGAGAGGGAATTGAAGAATGGTTAAAGTTTGAGAAATATTTGGGATTCTGGGGGCTTTCCACATGGATGTTGTTGGTCACGTTGCCAAAGAAAAGAGCCGATAGGTAAAACAACCACTTGAAAAGTGGCGGCAATTTAGATGTAGTCCAGCCGGCTTCAACAGGAGTCTTCGTAAATGGCTGTGAAATTAACTTCAATGACATTGTTCTTTTATTTTTATTTTTTGTTTTATTAACTTTGGTTTATTGGCAATTGGAATTTTTAGCCGCTAATATTCTTCAACTTCTTTTCTATAAAGCTATTGACTATTTACAATATCTTACAAGGATTAATCTTCTATATTATTATTGAATGCATAACAATTGTTGATTATCTTTCGTCTCTTTAGAACTCATTCTCTCTTCCTTCTTTCTAAACCTCTTTTGACCAATATTTACAAGGAAGGAGAGAGACCTGGTATCCCTGTGGAAGGGGGCTCTTTTTCTAGTTTTATTTCCTTTGTTTGAATAATTTTTCTTTTGGATTTTTTAGTGAGAGCATGTTTTCTATTAGGATTTTCTAGTGAGGGATTCTTCTCTCAATTTCTCTGGTGAGAGTTTCATTCTCTTCTAGAATATCCTTGTGAGAGTGATCTTCATTTTTTGTCTTTCTACAAATAGTGAAATTAAAGATTTGGTAGATCTCAACAACCAAATATGGAAGTCAAGTCTAAAATTTCTTTGGATTTGAAGTAGTTTTTATCAAATTTGACTATCTAACTAATGGAAGATATAGATACATATTTGTTGTGACATCTATCTAATGGAAGATATCCTTGGAAGATTTATAGTTGTTTAGATATGTCATCTATCTTTTGATTTTCAAATTCATATGGATCAGTGTCATGTTTGATGTACTTATTGCCATCTGTATAGATTTTAGAACGATACTGTCCTTTCTACTAAAAAAAAAAATATACTATCATTATTAGATGTATAACAATTGATTTGATTTTCATGTGTGTCATTCATAATCATGATCATGTATACACTTTTATTGTATGTAAGATTAACTCATCCTACAATTCTACACTTCTAGTAAGAATAGAAGATATTTGGTGTGGACTCTTGTCTCTAATTAGGTTTGACCTTTCGCAACGAACAAATCAAATGAAGTTAGCGATTATATAATCTACAAAAGCACGTAGAATCAATATATGTAGACTTGTCTTTAACTACTAGAGTATAATTTCATTCGATTGTTTCACTTTTTTATTTGATGACCCTGTAAAATAAGTTTACAATAGAACAATCAAAAACTAAAGTCTAACATATTTGCATGAGCAGCTTTTGTTAATTAACTAATTAGATTTTTGCAAAATCTATAACAACTTAGAAGAGACCCTATATTTAACCATTTTTATGTGAAAAAACAAGCCAATTAAGGTTTCCAAAACCAAGCCTAATTGCAATGACCTTGTTGAAGGCAAAGGGCTAGCTTGATATTTCATTAGTGACAAGTTTTTGAGTGTTTGAATGATTGTTGAAGATTTGGAGAGATTAACATATGGATGTTTGTGCAGAAGACAAAACAAGAAGTTTTAATAAGAATGGAGTAGTTTTTTCAGGATTCTGTCAATTAGATTAGCCGGCATTTCAATTCTTTTTTTTTTTTTTCGGTTGCAGAGATTGAAACTGATTGGCTGTTGATGTTGGAGGAAGCTTATTATAACTTATAAGATTTGTATATCTTTAGAAAGTGAATGATGAGATTAGAAGTGGATATAGAGAGACATTTGGCAATATGAGGAGGTGCATGGTGAGATATTAATAAAAATTGTCTATCTAAATTATTCTTTCACACATCTGTTACATCACTGCACAACTTCAAGCAAAGCAAATTTTCATTATATTCCGAGTCAGTGATAGATTCCATGGGACTAAGTGATTTAAAAATTTATTGATTCTCTTTTTCTTTGATATGAAATTTATGAGAAAGATTGTCAGGAGTTAAAATGAGTGACAGGCGAAAATACTTACCACTATACTACAACGACCTCATTGGCTTGAGTTATCAGACTGTTTATATTTATTTAATTTCTAAGGGACGTTTTTAAATTTTATTTTGACTGACATGGTGGCTTTAGCTTATTGGGTTATTACCTAAAACAAGAACCAACTTTTTACTAACATTTAACAGAAAAGAACTTAAGGATATTTCTTGAAGTTTTAGAGCTATAATGAAAAACAAAATTCATAGTTTGAGTATGTTTACTCCTATTTTCAAAGAATCATTACAAATGATTACTGTATGGCCTTGTGTATCAAGGCCAGACAACTAATGCTTCTTCTTTTACAATGTCAACCTGAGAATACAAACAACTGATGCCAATTGCAGGCCAACATTGTGCTTCCAAACAGAGTATCTTGTGTATCAGTATCCAACAAAGAAATCTGGTCAATGTAGAACTTCATGAATTTGAAATCATAATGGACAAATGCTACTGAACAGGTAGACTGTGTAACTTGTACCCAAGATAGAGAAAGAATACAACAACAGTTCAGGCACTACAGCTATGTTCCTAGATTACAAGCACTATATCCCTGCAAGACCTGATACAACTCGTGTGAATATTCTCGGCATTAAAGGAAAAAAAGGGTCCTCAATGAGCCCCAATATACCTTGCAAGGGATGAATCACCAGGACTGCAACTCAATGAACGTTGCACTGTTGTAGTAGAGGATGACCATAATCAACATATTTGTCCCACAGGGGTTTATACTTCTCCATCCCAATCTTCAACCATGGTTTTGAGTTCCCGTTGAAATGCAACACAGCCCCGTTTTCTATCACGTGAGGGTCTACATTGGTGTAGCCCAAACCTAACACATGCCAAGAAAGATCTAGTGGCTGTGTCAATCCATAGAAGGTCAGCAATCCAGGTGGAAGTGTGCCAAGTTTCCACAATGTCCTATCTACATTTTTTTCCTGCCAGTAGTGATAAATTCCTGTAACATCCCTCTTCCTCCACTCTACCAAGTCAAACACATTCATCCCGAACGCCCACCCACAGGCATCAGGGTCAAAGTGTGCACGTATCAGAGGATGAGAATAGTTTAGGTATTTGTGGTATCTATGGAATGTCTCCATGCACGTCTCAACCGCACCATTAACGTTGCCATTTAGATCAATGGAGAACAAAGGAGACAGATCCTTCTGAACTACAATGTCATCATCTAGAAACACCACCTTCTTCAGTGCAGGAAAAACCTCTGGGATATAGAACCTCAGGTGGTTAAGCATAGAAAGGTACTTGGGATTCCTGAACTTAATTGGTGTTCGGCCATCGTCGATACTGCCAGAGAAATAATAACTCTGAGTTTCAGAGTCTTGAAGCTGTTTAAGAACAGGAACATAAGAAGCATTTAACCAGCTGAAGTCTTCAAACTTCTGGACATCAACTGTAACTCCACGGAAGCTATTCATGGTGAACCAGGCCTTCATTGCAGCATAGTTCACCTCATCAGTAACGAGGTGGAAGACTACCTTACCAGGATCCTTAGAATTTAAAGCTGTTGAATTCACAACAACTGAAGTTGCAAGGACATTGTCAGAGAAGACGCAAAAATGATTAAGATTATTATCTTCCAGTTTTGCGGCTAATTGCCTTTTATCATGTAGTATTCTCTGTAGATTTGAGTTCTTGAACCATTCAGTTGTCAGCCGAACACCAAGGCAATACAAACTCTTGGGGACTTCTTCAGCAGCTATTTGTCCAAACTTTGAACTCTTTTCATTGACGGAATTCATCTGTTCTTCAAGCCCCTGGATTTTAGCTTTCAGTCTCATGATCATTGTTGCACTGTCATAATGTAGTTGTTGTGCTTGGTAAAGCAAGAGGGCCATATCACGAATTGTAGTTTCTGATTCTCCAGTAGTCAAGGGAGTTCTTCTCAAGGCAGCATTTGAAAGAAGGATTTGTGAATTGCGGATTTGAGCACTGAGTTCCCATGCAAGTTGGAGGTTGTTGCTTTCTTTTGCAATTACAACAAAGGCCTTGGCAAGAGAAATCTGATCATTAAGTTGTCTTGCAACTGAGTCTGGGCTCAACATTTCTTCAGTAACGTTAAGGCCTTCTATGGTTCTGTCATGTCTAAATGATTTCTGCAGAACCAAGAGAGAAAAAAAAAAAAGAGGAAAAATGATTTTCAAGTCCAAACTTATAAGGAAGGCACTAGGCAAAAACAGCAATCCAACTAACTGAGAAGAAAGAGAATAATCCTCAAATCCTAAGGGAGAGTTGAGTTCAAACAAAAACAACATAGATCCAAGCATTATCATCCCACGTGCACATGCAATCAAGTGTCTACATGTAATCTACATACGAATAATACATCAATGTTTTCTAAGGAAGTTCATCAAGTTCATGGACCTATAAATTCTATGATATCAGACAAGAAAAACTCAACAAGTCTAAGTAAGCCACAAGATTCCTAGTTTCTTTTAAATATCATGCTTTATCTTCACATAAAACAAATAAGGTCACATATTTCAACTGTTCCTCATCTTTCTTGTAGTGCAACCTACCATGTATCACATATTAAAATCCGGAAGCAAACAATAATTATGCAAAAGTTCACGCAAGAAAGATGCTGAAAGTGCGACATGAGAGGAAAAAAAATTCAAATATGATTACTTGTAAACTGTCCAGATGACACTTCTCCAGATACATCCGAAAATCAGCCATGCAAAAGGATTCCAAGAAAAAATCAGCCATGCAAAACGATTTTAAGAGAAAATCAGCCCTGCTTATTCCAGAAATAGTTTAATTATACTTTTTTAACTCTATTAAATCAATAGAGTCCAGGTTTACATTAGGAAAATTCTGTGCTTTCCTAGTTCATTGAATAATTTAATTCCACTTTCCAAATTTGTTATATTAAAATATCTTACATCAGGAAATTCTAGTGCTTTCCCGATTTATT